GGAAGGGTCAGTCAGTGAGGGCACCTTTGGGAGGGTGAATCAGTGAGAGCACCTTTGCAGGATGTTCTCAGCTGTAGGGTTTAGGTGGTGAATTTTGGCCCTCTCTGTCACTCACGGGCGTGTTCGTAGCCGGCCTTCATGCGCTGGTACAGCCTGGATCTCCACTCCCAGGCCTTCAGCTGCTTCTCCCTCTCCGCGGTGTCGGTGCCCAGCCCTTCGCTCCCCACCTGTGCAGACAGTTCAGTCACTCTCTGCTGGGCCTCCTGGACCAACGTGCTCAGATGCACTGACCTGCTTTCCATGTCAACAACTGCCAAGAAAAGGGGAGAAAAAAAGTATTTTCTTGGTGGCGACAAAATTCTGCAAAGCACATATAAGGTCAAATCCTTGAACGCTCTTCTTTCCAGTAGTTATCTTGTCATCAAGTGGATTAGAGCCAATTTATACCACTTAAAGATCTGGCCCCTTAAGTGGGATTAGCAACATGAATAAATTTAGCACATTTTTTTCTGCTGGTATTTCTCGTGCTTGAAAATGTCTTAATTAGACTGAAATTGCATATGTGTTTTAAGTTGGTGGGATATGAAAACCAAAGTAAAGTAATAACCTCTCTCTCTCCAACCCCTGCTTTGCCATAATATCATAAGCTTTCACAAAAAAAAAAAAAGAAGATTGTACTGGTTACAAACACATGCAATATATAAACCTCTACAAGCAGAGAACTAATTGACAAAATTAAGAATGAGAGTTTTGTGCCTGAGGGCCACGGCTGGTAGAGAATGGATCCCTTTCCAGTTTTTGTTGTGCCAGTTTTGCCCAGGTAATATCTAATTAGTCCTTTGAACAGGCAGTGAGCAGCTTGAGACATGGAGGTTTTTTTTTCTCTAGTGCTCAGGATAATTTTAATTTAATGTTTAGCAGTTCAGATTGCCTGTATGAACTACTGTGGGCTACATAAAGGTGAAAATGAAGATCACATAGGTTACAAAATAAAATAGGATTGATTTTATCCCAAGTTCACAAGACTGCCCTAAACCAGATTATAAAACCTCCCTGATTATACAGTGAAATGTGGTGAATCAAGTCATATTTTCAGAGTTGCTCTTTGCCTAAAATTGTTCAAACAGTTTGCAGTTTGGAAAATAGGACTTGTAACATTGCTTAATCTCAAAAGAAATGCAAGTACTGATCAGATGTTCAATATGCAGGAAATTGTGTACAGAAGAAGAAATGCTGAAATCACAGAAAGTAATTGGTGTCTGGTGTTTTTGCAGAAGAGCTCTGAGATAGTCTTGATTTAAAAGGCCTCTGTTTACCAAAACCAGTGCCCTACCACATGCAGCTTCTCTTAGCAATGGTGGGGGATTGCTATGTAGGGACAGCTCTTGTTTCCCCAAGGATTTCACAGGAACAGCAGGAATCTTGCACAGGCTGCACTGAGCACTCGCACAAGCCAGACATTTCTGAAAACATCAAATTGTACCAGATAAAGCACCGAGGCTCTGACAGGTTTTTGACATCAAAACACCACAGGAGCAAATATGTCTGCAGATATGAATGTGCTCTTTCCAATCTGGGATCGTATGGGACAAATCAGATTGGAAAGGACCTCCTCTAGTCCAACCATCTTGTTCAAAATAGACTCAGCCAAGGGGTCAGACCAAGTTACTGAAGGCATTATCCAATATGGTCTTGAAAACTTTCCAGGATGGATGAAGGCTTTACATCAACTCTGGGCAACCTGTTCCGGTCCTTCCCTGTCCTCATGGTGAAAAGAGTGTTTGTTTTATCCAATCTGAACTTCTTATTTTAACTTTCCCCTCTGTCTCTCATAATTGACAGTCAAAGTTTAGCAGAGTCTGAGAATAACCCTATGGACTGCTGTGAAAACTGCCCTGGGATCTCTAAAGCCACAGGAGGAGAGCAAAGAATTACTCGACACCTCTGACATCCAAAGGGCTGTTTTTGAAGAATGTTTGTCTCTAAGACTTTGCTTTCAGAAGCTGGCTTGCAGCCATCCTTCTTAAGTTGGATCATTCTTCATATGGACATCAGGGACATATGGGCAGGCTCCCTGGAATCTGCTGCTATCTTCAGAACTGCTGGTTTACTGGGAAACCAAAGGTGATAGGATTTCCTGGATCCATGCCTACAATAAGCGTGCAACACATCTGACAGCACAACAGGACTGGGGAAGGAGATTTTATGTGCCAGAACTTCAGGTGATTGAGAATTGGCACTGGCTCAAGTTCTCACCAAGGATCTGGCTCTATCTGTTTAATCAAGATTCACATTCACATTTGTCAGGTCTTGGAAACGTGTCCAATCAGCCAGTGGCAATTTTAATCTTATTTTTTATTTGGCTTCACATGAACAAGCCAAACCATGAGTATATGATGAATAAGAGTAACTGAAAAGATAACACAGTGGACTTTGCCTCCTCCCCAGCTAAATTAGTGTTTTAAATGCTGTACTCTCTGACTTTAGTTACTTTGTGTTTAAAAGATGTTGGGTTCCTGTTAAGATTTATACAATCTGAGATCCATGTGGAGATGAAGATCACAGTTTTACTTTCTATTGCTTTATCTGCTGCTGTTCCTGTTCCAGGCAGAAATCCAGGGGATACAGATGGAAGTTATCTGTCCTCCAGATCCTCTTTTCTACAGCATTAGATTGGGGGCTATAATGAGATTTCAGCTGGATCACTACACCTAATATAGTGGCAGAGCAAGAGTTTTCTCCGTAGGAAGCACTTGGAATGGGGAATTGCTCTATCTTGCAGCCTCCCACCTCTGTGCATCTGTCCTGTACAGTTCTAATCAGATCAAGAGATGCTTGTGTGCGGTCCCAAAATTGGGTGAGTCAGGATTTTACCCTCCCATTTAGCTCAACTGCCCACCACAGAGAAATGGAAACGCTCCTGCTGGGTGCTGGGTCATGTTCTTGCAGCCCTGAGATGTCACAAACAGAACAGATTTCATTTGAACAGGGTTGTTAAGTACAGAAAGCAGATACAAAGTGACTGGTATCAGTTCCACAAGAATGAAGCCACCTACAAAGGTGCTGTGACCCCTTGTTTTGAGGGCTGAAAATAACTTTGTGCATTTTGTTCTCAAGTAGCAACTGCAAACCCTTCAGGTAAGAAACCCAAACCCAACAATCGTTTGCTTTTTATTGAGAATGCTTCATCCATTATTTCAATCAGAAAAGCTAAAAATCAAGATAAGTGAAGTGGAAATTTGGTGGGTATATTTTGAAATGGAAATGAGGTGGTTATATATTCATATTCTCTGTGTTCATAGGCATGTTTGCATTAATTACAGGAAATGAATACTAATTTATGATTGCCCCTGCTCGCCATCAGACTGCATTTATTTACAGATGAGGTCAATGAAAAATTAGTTTAGTCTTTTTTACTGCTGTTTAGAACACTCAAGACTGTGTTTTCCTCTAGATTTGTCATGGTTAATGAATGTTGCTTCAGCAGTCAATCATGTACTCTAAATGCTGTCACACTTTTTTTTAAAGCCTCAGTCATGAACCATGACAGAAAAATAAACAAATAAATATAAAACTAAAAAACTCTTTTCACTGAGCAGCTACACTATGCAAAAATCTCCAGGGAAGGTTAAAGGAGGCCAGAATAAATGATAATATAAGTGCTGTGGATATAGAAAAGCAATAAAGGTGTACCAACACTGAGGGTCTGGCAAAAAAACTCAACATGCACATGCACACACACTCTGCAGTGAAAAAACTGGCAATGTTAGTAGCCTCAAGGTGCAATTTCCTGGAGCACTGAGATTGACATGCCAGCACTAAATGTTGTTAATTTAACTAACTTCAAATTAATGGCAGAGTCTGCAGTGGCCGAACCCCTCAAACACAGTCTCATTATAGCCTTGCTGGGAATGTCCTAAATATAGGCATTGACAGTTTAAAACAAATTCTCATACATGGGGGTATTTTTAGACCCAAGTAAGGCGTCAGAGTTTGTGTCATGGTATAGGGTTGATTAATTGGGTTGGTAAGTCACCCTCCAACCCGCAAATTGGGCATAAAAGGGCCCACGAAGGAATACAAAGAAGTTTTATAACTACAATATGTAGTTATGAGCAATATTGGTATTCCAGTGAAGTGAGAAGGTTTGTTTTGTGTTTAGGTTTTCTCTGGTTCGGCAGAACTTTGAGATTCTCATTTAAGTGGGATTTTAGGCCATTTGAAGACGAGGAGTGAGGATTCTTTGGGTAATGGAAGGTTTCAACACAACCGGTCTCCTGAAGGCACCATAGTCAAAATCAAAAGGATAATCAAAATAAACCAAAGTCTAGACAACCCATCATCCTTTCATTTTTGATAACAAACTCTTCATTTCAGGCCATGATCTTTGAGTCACTCAGTCTCTGTTTCCGTATTTTTAAAGATTTTTTTCTTAGTATTGGTATTAACTCAGCTGCCCGGTGTTACTCACATTAGAAGCTCAACCTGATTCATCACTTGGTGTATCTGAGATAGAGAATAAAAATATCTCCTGAGCATGCATTCAGCAAGCAGATATTGCTGTAAACATCCCCCAGAACTGTGGTACTGTGCTGGTATCATCATCCTTATCAAAAACCAGGCAACTTTGGTGTGTCATGTAATTAATTTCCCCAAACCACAGCAAACTTGATCTCTTACAGGCAATTATCTAAGTCAATTTGTGTTCTTTACTTACAGTGTGGGCTTTCCTTTGCCCCAACGTGCAGAAGGGTCTTAGCAATAGGGACATTATTTGTCAAAATGGCAATATCCAGAGGGGTTAGTCCCTCACTGTTTGGTGTGTTCAGGTCCAGTTCCTCCAGTGTGTATTGATAAAGAAGAATCTGAACAGCATCCAGATCCTGCTGTTCCACGGCCTCAAACATTGCTTCATTGCACTGGAAATTCTGTGTATCAATGAGAACAGAAATTCAGTAAAATTTTTCAACTGTTAGTGCCTTAAAAATAAATGGAGAAGATTTGTGTTTTGTGAGATTGCTATAAAATATTGATCCTCCAGCCCCAACCTAGGTTCAGCTAGAAGAATGGTAATTGTTTGCAGCAGAATTGGGCTTGGCCTGCTTGACCTTGCTTCAGGTCTATGTGAAGATTCAAGTGAGGTTCAAACCCATATGAAACAAACCCATGCTTGTTTAGACATCTGTCCTGTAATCAAATTATATGAGCAACATCATATGTTTTGTGTGAAAACAAGATTTCGTGTGAAAACAGACACTATGATTTTGGCAGAGTCTTGGACTACTGAGTTTTCAAACTCAAAATTTAAAGTAAAAATCTACAAACTCAGGTGATCAAAATTCGAATCAAACAAGCTACTCTGGAGGAAAACCTTCCCAGTTCCAGTGTGAGCCAGCAATAGGTATTGACCGTTTTACCACTTCAGTCATTTATAGGTGTTCGTATTATTGTGTTTAAGTTGCAACCAGAAGAAGCTTTGAAATACATAAAAGGATGTAGAAATGAGACTGAAAAAATTGACTGCCCCTCAAGCAGGGAGAACCACTGAACCTTTTCCTTAGCAACATCAAGGAGATAAAAGAATGGTAGAACACAAAGGCACCTGTTGTTTCTTAATTGAGCTGGGGAGAAGCAGGTGCAGGAGAGTAGCATGGCCTGCAGGTTTCTGTTATGAGAACATCCTTCTGGAGCTGCAGTAATGACATGTTATTTGCCAAGATTCTTTACATTCTCTCCCGGTGTCCCATTGCCATAATTAGCCAACAGGGCTTTTTCCCCTCTTTGGAATGAATTAGTAGGAGCAAGAGGCCCAGCCAGGCAAGGAGGGCTCAGCATGCAGAGGAACTGAGATCTCTGTAGGTGTGTTGTGCTCATGGGCAGAGCTAAAGAAATGCAAGGATTCAGAGAACAACTCATCCAGATACATGATGTGAACCAGCTCCCTGTGTCCTGAAACCACGTGGAGGGACCACAGAGAAAATCCTTATCACAGAATGTATTCTTTTTCGTATGAAATAAATATTGAATTGAAACCATCTTCTAGTGTGATTAGAAATTAACATTTCAAACACATCAAAACTTCGTTTTCTTTTTAAAATTGATGTAGTTTTGTTTGGCAGATCCCTGTCTGAGTGAAATAACACTTTCTGAAAGAGCACTGACCTGCTGGAACATCTTTTGTCTCCTAAAATTCATGGGCTAATGGTTTGCAAGCAGTTCTGGGAACTAGAGTCCACAGCTACACCCTGGAATTTGATAGTTCTAGAGCGTTTTTTTTCGGTTGTGCTTGAAGTTAAAAGTGTCTTCAGATGTTCCCAGACTTGACAGAGATCTCCTGGTCAACTGTTTGGCATGTGAAGTATTGGTGCCACACTCAGAAATTGCAAAGGTTGTGTTATCTAAAAGTTTGAATCTGGACCTCACCTGTGCAGGATATGAGGGATCAGCAGAACAGGAGGACAGATGTACATTAAATGACCTTTACCCAAAATTGCCAGTATAGAGAAATGAGGTTCCCATGTTAAATGGCTGTCTAAGGGTGAGAGGAACTATGCAGCAATAAAGCAATTCTGGGACAGTTGTGCTGACTTGGGAATCTCCCTTTTAGACACTAAAGTCCAAGGCAGCTCATGCTGGAGAAATATTTTTTCCGTAGATTTCCACGCAGAATAAAAAGATACTGCCTAAACATCAGGGCTAATCCTGGGGCTCTGTCAAATTCTTGGGTTTGGATTCTTCTCTGCATTGTAAGATTCTGATTTAATTTAGTTGTCAAATACTTAGACCACATTTCAGGGTTAGGTGTAAGATAAAAACCTCAGAAAAAGGGGGAGTTGAATGGCGAGCAGCTCGATTGATCATTCTTTATCCACCCCTCTGTTAAGAAAAAAAATTGTCTCTGAGGACATGCACTGTCATTAGTGAGAGCACATGTCCAGAAAATGTTAGCAAGGAAAACAGCATGTATCTCTCTTATTATAAACTGAAACTTAAAAAATGACAGAACTTTTTACTGCAATGCAGCAATATTTCTTTGCCTTCCAGTGGCTCCACACATCTGATGTCTTGCTTATATAACACCTTATAATCTTGATATCAGAGACCTTCCTCTTATTTTGGTGTTTTGCCCCTACTCTGAAACATGAAGCAATCTGGCTAGAGGTTAAAAGAATTTTAAGTAATTTTAATTATAATTAAAAAATATTTTAATTATTGGTATGATTCTGATACTTGCTGTATATCATCAGCTCCTACTACTGATATTGGAAGTTCTTCTCTACTGTTGTTTATGGAAATACAGGATAATTTTGCTTCAAAATCATTTGCATTTTGATCCAATCAGAAAACAAGCAAAATCATATTACTCTTGTAACTGATTCCAGCAAGGAAAATCTACTTATTTAGCTGTAAATTAATTAAGAGCTTATTACAAAGGGAATTTGTTGAAGGAAACTAAATTACTATATTAGTCTGCATTTCTTTTAGTTAAGTTCATTTTTGGAAACATTCTGAGAGCAGAGTAAAAAGGTAAAGCTGGTGATATTACTGAGTGACAGGAAAGTAGTTACTTCTCTGTTCACATTTTCCTTTCTGTGGCACTGGGTACACACATGGTTTTCCCTTTTTTTGTTTTTTTTAAACCAGAATAGTAATTCTCTTTTAATTGGCTTTACATATGTGCACAAAAGTTAAATGAGTTAACATTTGTGGAGTGCTACCCCAAGTGCTCCATACCATTATTTGGCTTTAATTCCAATTTTGTGTGAAACTCAGAAAATCTTGTGCTACATCTCAGGAGTTTCTTGCATTATATAAAACAAAAATTCCCTGCTACATAAAGAGATGCTTAACTTTGGTATTACAGCTGACATTAACCCAAATTATGGCTTGCAAAGGCGTTTGGTCCTTTTCAAGTATATATACCCCCACTTTAACAACAGATATTACCTATCTGACTGATTATTGTAGAATTATATTAAAAACTTTGATTTAAATTGTTTTTTTTTTTCTCTTATTCAGTTATCAAGATTTAGACCTGTCTCAATGCCTTTCAATATGCATCTTTGGATTTTTGCTTGCCAAGTGAAATACTTGAAGTATTTGTGAAATTTTGGCCCTAAGTTGCTGAACAGAATCTAAGCACGTGTTTAAGTTAATTTGTCATAAACACTCTTGCCAACTAACCTGTTGGCAAGACTGTTTCACCAAAAGACAAAAAAATAAAAGCAAATTTCTATTTCTTCATTTCATTAGAAATCTGATTGAAAAAGCTGCCCTGATTTAAATGAGAAGCAGAGCATGAGTATTATAAGCTACTTCATCCAGTTCAAACAATTATGAGACCAAATTGCAAATATCAGCTTTTCCAAATGAACAATTCAGACACAAGCAATAGGCTGAAATATGTTGGCAAGTCTTGTGACTTCAAAGAGTGTAAAAACATGGGAACTGTGAGATGGCCTTTCTAGCCCCCATGTGTGCACCCCTCACTCACAGAGCAGTGCACATCTGACCATGCTGGAGCTTTTTCAGTCAACAACATCCTGGAGAGGCAGCAAAATATCTGCTACACCTTCAGCCCTGCCAGGGAACTGCCCCATTTGGAAGTTTGCATCCACCAAGTCCAGAAAAATACTCTACACACCTGACCAACTTTTCCCCAACTATTTGCTTTCACACAGAAAACAGAAATGTATTTGAAGATTATATAGTTTTCTGCAAAAAGCTGATCATATTCCATGTAAAAGGCTCTCCAGTGTTGCAATGTTTTTCAAACTTCTGCAGCCTGTTTTTCAGACTTCTGCAGGATTCAAGGATAAGAAATCCAAACAGGGGGAAGGGGCAATATCTTCAGACCCAAGTGCTCAATTTTAGTCCAGCTGGTATTGTCACAAATACCAACAAAAGCCTTCTGATTTCTGCCTTCATTTACATTTACTAGATAACTTTATTCTGCTCTGAAAGGACAAAACCACTGAATTCAAAGAGAAACTGAATCACATTTACAAGTGATTGGGAGAAATTTAGGAGCAGTTTTTACATTGCTTTTTCCTTGACTCAGCCCTGCAGCCTCTAATCATTAGCTGGACAGCTGTGCTATGTGATTAATTTATTTAGGTGTTACTCTGATGCACAAATGTATATACTGAAAAGGACTACAGTATTGCTTTGCAGTAAGTAATAACCATGTTCCAGTAAGTGATTCAGTGCCAGAGTGTTTAGAAATGCAATCTTATGTAGCTTAATTAAAATGAAGTGCCCCTTTCAAGCTATTTGCTCTAGGTTTAACTGAAAAAGTCCACTATGTGCTACTGGAGTTGGAAAAAGTGGTAAAGTAGTTTCTGCAAAGACTTGTTTTGATAAACATGAGTTCAAGAATAAAGCTATTTTGGGACATTGCTATGTCTGCAGCAAGACAACAATTTACTGAATGGAAAGTGTTGCACAGCAAGAGAGAGTGGAAAGAAAACTCTTCACTAGCCAAAGCTGAAAGAAAACAAATTCTAACAAATGTTGTTCACTTGTCTGGAGACATGATTTTACTCATCGACTTCGCTCTGGGGCACAGAAACTCAGTGATCAGAAAATACATCAGTCAGCAACTTGACCTGGAATATTTCCACCCCTCGCTATTTATTTCTAGGGGAAACTGGGAAAACAACAAGTAGGATGGATAGAATGGGATCCAAACCCTCTTGAGTTGAGTGGGAACGTGTTCACTGAGTGTTGTGGACACCAGCTCAGCCCCCGGACTGGCAGGACCTACAGGTACCTCTGCTCGCTGTAGGTCAGCAATGATAAAAGCTGTGACACCCTCAGGACAGTGGGGTGGGCTGGGGAAACAAAGTGAGCACAAGGAAGTCTGTATCCCATTAAACACCACCCACATCAAAAGGTGAGATCGAGTCTCACAGCTATGACTGACTGAACAGGCACTCCCAGCATGTGACAGATCTGGAGCGAGGAGGGACAGAAGTGAGACTGTAAGTAGTTGGCTTGGTTAGCAGAGGACTCAACCCTCAGCAGCAGTGCCCTGCTCCTCAATCTTCTGGCTGGGCTCATTGGCAATTTCTCTTCTCATTAGTTAAGTATGACAGAAGATCCCATATTTGAAGGAATATGTAATTTGAAGGGTGTATTTGGAGAAACACTGGTCAGAAGATATGCTGACAGACTGGCATTCATTCAGTCTGCATGTCAGTCTGCTCTGGCACAGTCCCCAGCACTACTTTATCCTCCTCCTTCACTCACTTAGTCACACTTAAGCTTGCAATTAAAAAAAAATAGGCAGGAAAAGATAGTGGCTAAAAAAATTCATCTAAAGAATCTTTTCCCACAGTTCATACTTTGAGACCCCAATTCAGATCATCCCTACAAACTGAAAAGCATCTGGAAACCCATGGCCTCAAAAGCACAGCTGTTGGCTCCCATGCAAAGGCTGCTTTCCAGCTCTCAAGCCCTGTTTGAGTTTCAGGCTTCTCCTGTAAAACAAGTATCTATCGGCTCAGGCAGAGCTGAGGGAAGCAGTGACCATCCCCTGCTTCCTTCAGGTCATGGTCTTTCTTCACAGGAGACAGACAACAGTCTCCATGGGTCCTCTGACTTCAAGACAGGCAGGATCCTAGGGGATAGCATCTACCACTTGATTTTAAAATCATTTTCAATTCCTGCATTGATTCATACAATTTGTCTCACATAACAAAGTCTTGTGAGTGTTAAAGGAGCCTAGAGTGGGCTTTTTCCTTCTGACAATTTTTGTTGTCTGGCCCAGCCACACTCAGAGTTTACTCCTGCATTGTGTTGAGCTCTAGTGCAGCACAGAAGTGGTTCCAAGAGGCGTCTGCTGGTGCATTCACAGACACTCCATTAGTCACTGCTCTGCAGAAGAGGAGAGGAGCTCTCTCCTTTGAAATAATTCAGAGGAGAAGTTGAAGGATGTTCTTCCTACTTATGGAAAAGGGGAATTTATTTTGTTTTGGCAATATCAACAGCAGGTTTATCTTCCTCCAGCAAAAAGTTCTGCTGCGCACTGAACTTCCATTGTGGTGTTATTTCAGGGACACAGGCCATTCTTCAAAATTTGTGCACTGGGGGTTGTGTGACTTCACCAGCACTGGCAGAAACAGGAGCCCTTGTGAGGGTTAAGTCCAGCATGTGCTGTGCAGTGCTGGCAGCAGAGTGCTTGGCTGTGATTCGGATGGGGTACTCAGGCCAGACTGCTCCATGTGTGATCTCCTTCTTCCATGGCCTTACCTAGTGACCATCACCACAGCCTCTGAACAACCTTGCATTTTTCTGTCATGGCTGCAAGTTCCACTTGTTGTGCTGTTTGGAAAAATGGGAACTTCTATTTAAGCCATCTTCAGTTTTCTCAAAATACTTTTTAATTCATTTCTTGTAAAAGAAGCAGTTGCATGTATAGATTTAATTCACATTTGGTCACATTAATGCCAAGTTATAACCTTACTCCTAAAATAAAGCATCATCACTTGCATAAGGCAGCCTGTCTTTAGCCTTCGAGAAGGGCAGACTTTTATTTTCAAATAAAAATCTTACAAATGACTTACAAAGACTCCCAAAGGGTAATACTGTGAGGAACACACAGCGCTGGCCAGGGAGCAAAAGCGAGATGATGAAAACTGTGCAGATTAAAAGCAAACTGATTGAGGAGATTAATAGGACAGTAAATTGGCAAGTTGATAGAGATCAAGTAATTACCATGGAGGTCTTACGGAGGCTGAGGCGGTCGGAGCGAGCTCGGAAATAGGCCTCGTCGAAGGACGTGTGGCTGCCCTTCAGCTTCTCCGACAGGTTCCGATAGAGCCGCTTGGCAGCGTTGGGAGAGGAGGGCATGCTGTGCTTCTTGGTCTGGAGGAGACTCAGGTTGTGCATTTGCTGGGTCATTTTCAGCTGGAAGTTTCTAGAAGAGAAGCAGCAGCTGTTTAAGGAGGTTTCGCCGCACCGTCGGTCGGGACTGTACCAGTGACAGGCACAGCGCAAGGCTGCTGGGGCTGAGATCTCACCCACGGTCTGTGAACAATTGTAACCCACTTTTTTGGGCTTTTCCAATGGCAAATTGCTCTTTATGAAATAGGTATGGGGAGGGGGAATCAAGGATGGCAAAAATAAAACAGACCACTACAAAATTATTCACTAATTTGTGTAAGAAGGGGTTTCAATTAGTGAGGAAAACAGCCTTTTGACTGAGTGAGTTCTGGTGTGCAGGTGTCAGAAAAAATGACACTCAAATTAAATGTTGCTGTTTACAGTTTCATACTGAGTGGTTTCTTCCTCAGTTACTGGACAGACACTGGTTTTGTCTGTATATTATATCACTTTATCCTGCTCTGTGTTTGTCCTGTCCATTCAGACCACAAGCTCTTCCAAGAGGGACTGCGGCCTCTGACTGCCTACCCTGATGAGATTTCCATATTATCTCATAATTAAACAATACTTCCTATGTTCTATGATTACAGTATTTTTTCCATATTAGGAAAAATTGAATTAATAGTTAACTCTGGAAGGACTTTATGTGGGAATAATTTTGCCTAAGAATCAAATTTGACCCAACTTCAAGCACAGGAAACTATTCCCCAGGGATCTTGAAGTCAAAGGTGACAAAAATGAACCATTTCTTCACATTTCCTTCTTTCCTGTCTACATCTTTCTTTCTCACTTGTACACTGTGGTGAGCAGACACCCTGAGCACAAAAGTATCTGAGTCTGTGTAATCTCACATATTCACGGGTCTTGAAGGGAGACCAAGTCTCTGAATGAGGAGAGACAGAGTCAACACAATTGTCATATGTGATGAGAATACTTTGTTAAATTAGAACAACAGCGTGTGGAATCAGAAGGGAATTATGTGAGCTGCATCCTTGAAACTAATGTGCAAGTGTGGATATGATGAGAAACGAGCTCCCTGGGACTCAATACTGCAAAGATTTTAGACTGATTTTCTCTGAGCTTATGGAATAAAATGATTACCCACCTTCCACTTTTCTATGTTATTAATATTTTAAAGAAACTCAGCAATTTATCAAATTTAATAATGTAATTCTCAGTTAGAGTAACACATCCAGTTTCTATTTTTATATAGTGCTACAGATTATCCCACATAAATTTCTCCTCTTAACATCTGTTTTCAAGAATTTCTCCCTACCAACAGTGGAGTGTGGGTCGAGACACAGTCCCAAATTGTGGATAAAAATAGGCCAATAATTGCCATAAGCATGTTTGCAAAGGAAGTTCCAATTTCCCAAAATCATTTGATTTCAAGAGTACAGTCATTGAATACCAAATACCACACAGTCAGTAGTAAACTCAGGAGAGAGAGAACAGTTTGCATTCACTGTGCAAACCTAAACACCCTCAGGACTGTCCATGTTACACATGGAAGCTTTGTCAGGAGATGGCCAGAGCAGACCCCCAAGCCTGAAACACATGAAAGAAGATAATGGAATCACTTATAATCTCATCAAAGTTTCTATTAAGTCTAGAGCAGGTGAGTCTGCACCTTCAAAATTGCAGCTATTCACCAATAAAATGGGTGGCACCTTTGCTATCCCTGCAGAACTGGGGCATCACAAATGACTTGAAACACAGAAATGTTTCCTGTGTACTCACCATCAATATCCTGGATTAGTGCAGGGAATAAACACAGAACAATAAAGCAATAGCTGGAATAACATAATGCAAATGAACTGCATTTTTTCACCACTGTATTGAAACAGTAAGATGCAAAATGCTGCACATTATCATACTGAGCATGTTTTCTAGTCACATACAAGGTATGAAATGAAAGAAGAAAGGTAAGTTGCATATTCTGGAAAACTTTCTGGAAGTGTGATCTTATTATGCTGTAGAAACAACTCCCAGGAGAGCAATGTGAATGAGATAGGGCAAAATCATGGGTAAAAACATAATAAGAAATAAGGAAACAAACAGCTTGATTCACATGATTCTGCCTTGGTAAGCAGAGGGGGGGTTTTGGATGTTGTCATTTTGTTTTTACAGACATAAACTATTTCATGAGAGCAGTTTTAGGCTCCATTTATAGTTACTAATATTGGATTTTTTTACAACCAAATCCTTACCTCAACAATCAGGTGAAGTCCTGAAATGTGCATTGTCTTGACTGAAATAACAAATCCCCCAGTTGAAATGCACTTAGCCTCAGGATAAATCATTGTCACAATGAAAATTGTTACAGCACATCAAAGACTAATTTAGAAACAGGAGATGTCCAGAACTGATCCATTTGATTTTTCACCTATGGAAGCCTCTGCACAAAGCTGACACAGGTCAGGATGAAATAAAGACATTTCCTTATGGTCTGGAGATGTGTGATCCAACTTGCATTCCCACAGCAAGTGGAGAACTGCAACAGGCAGCACAGCCCAAGGTTTCTCAGTAAAAGGCAGAACTAGATAGAATGACAACAGCAGCTCCCCTTATAACTGTTCATAATTAGCAGCAGTCTGCATTTCCAAGAATTAAACCCCACAAAAGTCTTAGGGCAGCTCTCTGGGGAAACAGTTACTGCCCAACCCTGGGAACACCCCCCAACCCAGTCTGGTTTGTGTGACTGTCACCCTGCCTGTACCAAACCAGGGACCGAGGGCTCCCCACACACGTTTCATGCTGCACATCCTGTAGCTCAGTCTCAGTGATTGGATTTCTACTTGCCCTTCTAAGCATTAAAGTAATCATTTTATTCCCCCAAATCAGGGTGCTTTAAAATTCAAATTCAAATACAAATGAATATGAAACAGTTGCCCTTACAAAAGCTTTTTTTTTAATTGCCACATACTGACCTAATGTTCATGTCCTTTAAAAAAATATTACAGAGAGAGAGAAAAAAAAACAAACCTAAATTATAGCTCACTCTCTGTTATCTGTGGCACATATATCCAAAACTGTACAGACAGGTGCACTGGTAGGGCACAGCATAGCTGTAAAAGCATTAACTTCAGATTTTAGGAAAGCACAACAGCTGAGAAATCACTCCACACTGTATGTTTATGAAACCATCTTATAGTTGAAACTAATAATGAAGAATATATGCATTAAAGAGTTAAATTTGACTTACCAGGTTAGGCTATCCAAGGCAAAAACGTGAACAAGTTGCTGGTAATTGTCCACTGTCTTCCTTCAATGGATCACATTAGCTTTGCTGTCTCTGCTGGCTCAGCCTCTGGGCAGAATGAGTAAACCTCTTCCTTATACTGCATGAATGATCAGATATGGAAAAGCTTATTACTAGTAATTACACAAGTCCAAGACTGCTGATAAAATCTCAGAGCAGAACAGTGTTGACAGCAAATAGTGTTGTATCACAGGTAAAATGTTTGGTGCCTTAACTGTCCACGAGTTACCTGTGCAGCTACAGGAGTGACTAATATGGGAAGCTCTTGTTTCCATGTCAAAGCTGCCATGGGTCCTGTGTGCCTTTAGCTTGTTGTAGCCTTCAAAACTGATCAGCAGCACAGCGTGCAAGGAGAAAAAAGAATTACTGCCAGAGTAAACCAAACTGCGATTGTAATTAATTTGCCATGAAATATGAGCAAAAAGACATTAATGCAGCCATCTTCAAGCAGTTGGCTTTGTGTTAAAACAACCAAAAGGGGAAGAAAAAAAAAATCACAGTGCTACACTCAGTGCAGTAATGCTTGTTGCATGTGATGTATTGTTTCTTCTTTCTTGAAGCACGCTGCCACTACAGCTGTCTGCAATCATAGCAACAAAAGCAGCAACCAGAACCATAGCTGTGGGACATCTGCAGGATCATTGGAAAGCTCCCAGCCTGAGCAGGTTATGCTTAAAAAAAAGATTATTAAATGAATAAGAAAAACAAACCCTACTGAAACAGATCCTGTAATGTCTGCATTAGTAGCTTCCAAAATAGTAGAACGGTGATATTTCAAAATCTAATTTTTTTTTTTTTTAACTATAGGGCAAAAAATGCAAATGCAGGATCCCACGGAAACCCACAAAAATGTTGCTAAGTCAAATATGGAATAGCTGTACTTAGAATTCTAAAAATAGTGTAGGTGATAATCAAAGAGAAACAACAATCTAGAAAATTGTTATCCTTCTGGACAGCCCACTGGGCTAAATTTGTGTAACCAGAACACTCCTGTGTAACATCTGGCAATAGAAAAGAATTAAAACACACTAATTCCTGGGTCTGTCATAGCCAATGATCAATAATATCTATAGAAAAGGTATTTTTTATTGTTTTTAAAGGGATACCAGAGCTAGAGTTACAGTCTGCTGAAAAAATTTCCCTGGTTTTATTCAGACATGATGCTTGATCTCTTGGAAAATGTTGGAAACCTCCCAAAATCTGGTGATCAGCCTGATTCTCCCACCTTTCAGGACTCAGTTAAGGATGCTGTACCTCCTACCAATTAGCATCCTTTTGCCCAAGTAGCTGAACCTAAAATGTAGTCCCAGGCCTGATGTTTATATATAACGGAACTTGAACTTAATCTATATTTTTAAATCAATCTGGATATGGACCAAACCCTTCTTTGAGGGTTTTTCTATATGCACATATGCATCCATATACACGTGTGTGTGTTAACATGCACACACATGTATCTCAAGGACATAAGAAGAATATCAAATGCAATTACTTACGTGTTTTACTGCAGCAGAGAATTGCAAAGTGCTGTGACAACATACTATGAACAACATTCCTTCTCCTATACTGTGAAAATCACAGTGTGTAGGGTTCCCTCTTTTGTTGTGCCCCTCCTAAGGATCATCAGTCAGAAGGCAGCAGGACAGCTCACTGAGGTCTCTGCTCCTTGCCAACAGGAGGAAATTGGAAATCTTTTAAAAACCACCAAATACCTCTCTAACACTGAGATACTATCTGGAAAAAAAAGTATGCTGAAAATCTGAGAGGTTTACATCAGTTCAAATTAAATGTAAGCCTAAAAAATCCATTTTAAGTGCTGTGCTAAATAGGGATGATTCTTCTGAGGCCAAATCCCTGGTTAAGGTTTTTTTGGTCTGTATGGACCCCACCTATGGAGCTCACTTGGGAAGGAATTCTCAATTTCCAGCTGCTTTCATGGATAAAGCTTGTGAGTTTACTGAAACTAGTCTATTCTTTAATATTTTCTAGAAGTTTCTCATTGTGGCTCAATACTCCTCCTTCTCTCCTTTGCTTTCTCCCTTCAGACCGGTGGAAAGTAGCCCTTGTACAGTTGCCATTTCAATTTTTATAGTGCTTAATATTTCTCTATTGCTACCCAAACAATATTTGGTACAACAGCAAAAGTCAAGATGTTTTCTTGCCCAAGCTAGTTCTGTGAAAGACAACTAGGATTTTTTTAATATAAAACCCCCTCATATTTATGATCTCCCTGACCTATGAATATAAGTTCATTATTAAGCCGTTTAAAAGCCAGAAGACACAGAAGAGCACTCAGCAAGGTAAGAGGAGTAATAATAAACTTATCAAATTATACAGTCATGAAATTGATTACTAAAAATTATTAATGCATGTGTATGAGTGGGTGCAAGAGGCACTTACATCTAGTTGTGGAAATGGAGAAGACTAAAAGACCCTCAGAAAACAAACACCTGGATTTATGATAAATACAGGGAAGCAGATCTGTTAGTCTGATCTTGTACCAAAGTTTGTTTGCTCTCAAGCCTTTGATGCTCCCATGAGATGACTCGGAGATGTCAGCCATTTATTACTGCACTTGCTGATATTCCACACTTTATTAGTCAAACAGAGTATTTTGGTGGCTGTACTCACACTGCTGACTTACTGGGATTTTCATTCCATGACTGATGACTCTAAAAGTTCACTACCTGCAGTGCACACCGTGAGCTCATTCCACAAGTGGTTGTTATTATTACTATTGCTAGAGCTCCACATTTTTGTGAAGATGTTTGTTTGATGGGACATTTCATTTAGAGAGGCCACCCAAGTTGGCTGATTCACCGACACCGTCACCAAAACGTTCCCCCTCTGTTGATCTCAGCTTTATACCCCACAGATATTTTTGTTGTTGTATTGCCCATTAGCTCCATTTAGCAAATTCTGTTTGTTTCTTCCCTGGGACATTTCTGGGATGAGGGAGGCGAGGGATGAGGAGCTCTCAGCGCTGCTCCGTGTCCCAGGTTTTCGCGTCCTCCATCGATAGGTGGCAGCGTTCGCCCAGTTCTCCAAAATCCTGGAGTGGTCCCTGGAACAGCGGCCACACAGGGACCGCCTTGTCCCCAGCACGCGATGTCCAACTCTTCCTTGCAGATGGCATCCCACGTCCTCCATCCCCAGAAACATTCCCATGTTTTATATCGCATGGACTGAGTTTGGGAAAAACATTTGATAGACCAATATTCTGGAAACCGGGTGGGAAGTTTGGAGCAAAGAATCTCACGTGGAGCCTGACTTTTCTTCCAGATCAGTCCATAACAAAGCTCTCATCATCATAAGAGACAGAGCTGTATTTTAGGCTGTTCATAATCCCCCTCAAAGAACAAATATTGCTCAACTGTCAGATCCGATATCAGGCAATGGAGCCAGGCATATTGGATACCTGGGAATGAGATCTCCAGCCCCTCTCCCAAAGTAGCATGATCAGGATAGCTCTGTCTGGCATTTGTATGCTCTCTCATTTTGAAAATCCATGACTAGAAAGGTGGTTAAAGTGACTCTGTTCCTTGAAACAAAATATTGGGGTTTTTTTTCATACAGTCAAAAATATTCAGTGGGAAAGGTAAAATAAAAACAAAACCCCCCAAAGCCTATAAAAGTATATCTTTCTTTGCCCCCCCCCATTATTTCTTGCAAGCATTTATACATATAAGGTACTGCAGTAAATTCCAACTCTGGTTTTGGCAATTCCTGCCTCTCTGGTTCCTTGTTTACCTATCATCTTTCACACATACCCCTTTGCCAATTTGTTAATTCTCTGTCCTATTCCCTGATTTCTTGTGTTTCCTCAAGAACATTGATCTGAGTCTTACTGTTTCACTAGTTCCTTTAGCCAGTGTTCTTGATCCAAATCCACAGCAAATAACCTATTATCCACAGAGACACAGAAGTATTCAGTATGCTTGTAAAAAAAAGACAAATATTTCCCAGTCCATCAGTCACAGACGTGATCAAACTCAAGAAATTCTGAAATTGTGAGTGAAGAAAAAAAACTTGTGTTTGGACTAAGCTTAGAAAATTTCCCAATGAAATAATTTTCCCGAGTGTTTTGAAATATTTGAGACGCCCGTGATATAAAGTGACCGAATGGAACTGAGCTTGGCAGCCCCGGCTCCTCCAGGCTCCCTGCTGGATCCAGGGCTCCCAACCTGTGCTCCTCTCAGCACAGCCTGGATTTCAGCACACCCAGGCTCTGCTGCAGGGCTGAGGTTGGCAGACACAGCAGCACCTGGGGCTCTCAGGCTCCCACTTGCACAGGAAGGGATGTGGAGGGCAGGAGTTCTCCAGCTCTGGGGCAGCCTGGAGGGCAGTGGTGCCTCGGAGCTGTGGGCTTGCTGCTTGTATCTCTGAGTCTGGTTTTAGGTGAACTAGCAGAAAACCAGGGCTGTGTGCTCGGAATTCCATAAAGATGGCATGGTTTTTTGTACAGTCACAGTGTCTTTCCCCCCCCCCATCTTTTTAATTGGAAAATTCCTGAACATAATAATTCCTGGCTGCAGTGGAATAGAATCAGGCCTGGAGTGTCTGAGCTGCAAAACACTATTGAGTCATTTGGGATCATTTGGAGTGTATGTTAAGGCAGACAGAGAGACCTTGGTACAAGAAGTCCACCACCTTCCTGTTTGAACCAAGGAATCAAAGAGCAGCTGCTGTTCCCTTAGGGTTCCACATACCTACCAAGAAATGGGCACCAGCCTTGCTTGATGGGAATGCTGCCCTACTTCAGAACCAACAGAGCTCACTTTTTGCTGATGGTGCCTCTAATTGTTCTCCAGATTGGGAAAACCCCCTAAATTTGGGCAAACACATCTATCTTCAGAAAGCACGTAGAAGTACATAAGACCACTGGACATATCCGAAGATATTCGTTCCTCAAGATCCTTATCCTCCTATAAGATAATTTGTTCATCAGAAACAAATTACCCAGCTGAACATCACAGAAATAATGAAGTTGTCAGCAACAGCAGCACAACTGTGGTGTTTTGTCAGCCTCCTGTTGATTATGCTATCTAGTCAGATGCTCCAGATAGAGATAATTTATGCCATGTATTGTTTGGCCATGACTACTCCCAGCTGCACTGCATTTAATTCAAGTTACAGCAGAACATATTACAAACAGAAATTAAGAAGCTTTTCACAGCTGGCAATTTCTAGATTAGGGAAGAATAAAGAAAAACCAGAATTTACCAATGTTGAGCATGGAACAAAGCTGAACAGAGGCAGACACACAATTCCAGAGAAGCACATTTTTTTTTAAGCTACAGACATTTTTAGGGTTGTGACACAGTCAT